ACCCCTGGAGACACCCCAGTCTAGCTAGCTCTCCCAGAAACTCCCCGTTCCTCCCTGGGCCTGGACCTGAGGCCAGCAACTGAACACCCTGGGGCCCTGATGGGTGGCCGCAGAGTCCTTGGCTCTGGCTCTCCAAGTTTTCCGGAGAGTTTCTTCTCTCTGCCAACAGCCAAGAAGCCCTTCCTTGTTGTGGCATTCAATGAGGCCACAAAAACTCCACAGGGTCACTCTGCCCACAAGCAAATTTGGGTTCACCTGACACACACACACACACACGTGCACACGTGCACACGCTCAACACTAAGGAAAGCTGGGGCGAAGGCCATTGTTTGTGCCAACTCTCACAGCAGCTCATGACAGACGATGATAATAGGACAAGCAGATGCGGTCTAAGGTGTACGGAATTGGGCGCTTTCTCTTTCCGGCCCAGCAATGAGCTCCAACGATCAGCGGTGCCCATAGAAAGCAGGGAACAACTATATCAATGGCGATGTTTGTAAAGAGGAAATGGATGTCAACGCCCAGACCAATGGAATGGACAGTACCAGAAACTGGCTTAGGCTGATGGAGTCCTGGACCAATATAGACCAGGTTGGGGAAGGGAAAGAAGTCAGTAGGTTTAGCTCTTAGATTCCTTGTCATGCCATGGCCATAACTCTTTATAGGAGTAGACAGCTTCATCTTTTCCCCAAGGAGCGGTTGGTGGTTTTGAACGACTTACCCTGAAGTTAGCAGCCCTACAGGTAAACACTACACCACAGTCTCAGGACAAGAGGGGTGTGAATTCTCTCTTCATGGAGCTCTTTCCATGGAGAGGAAGTGAGACAGCCATCTGGTCAACATGGTTTAGTCATCCATCCTTCTTACCCCTTTCTGCCTGGACTGGGAAGAGTATCCTTCATGGGGCTGCGGTGACATCCAGTTGCAGTTGCTCCAGCCCACAGATCTGGGCCAACCCAACCTGTTCTTGGTGCCAGGGATAACCGCCCACCAGTGAAATTCAGCTCGCCCACAGATCAGATCAGTGGAACATTCCATGTGGGAAGTTCACTTCAATGTGACAGGAGACAGAAGAATACGGGGGTGGGGTGTGTGGGGGGGTGGGGTGTGTGGGGGGGAGGTCAGAAGAGAGGATGGCAAAGACCCACACTTTCACGGGGTCTCTTCTGAGCAAGCCAAGGACAGAGGGCCATGCACTTGAACCTAGTAGCCCAGAAATGCCCTTTGCACCCCGTTTTCTGGTTCTAATGTGTGTGGATCTTAGGTGTACTAGATCAGTGTTTCCCAAAGTGGGTGTGATACTGCCCCCTAGAGGGCACTGGGATATTCGAGGAGGGTGGGGGGTGCCTGCAGAAGCAGATACCTACACTTCATCCTGGGAGTGGGGGGTGGGGGACAGCCGTGGGAAGGTAGGACACATACGTTTGTACTATGCGCCTGCACAATCCTCACCACATGAGGCAAGACAAGTATTCTAAGAAGCAGTACTTGTGGTTTCACCATAATCCTTTTAAAGAATTGTCATTCTCTTATTTACAGAGGGGGTTAATTAACAAGTGTAAGCACAGAGATGGGGCTGTCCAGAGGCCAGTAGAGGCCAGTCAGAGGAGAGGGAGCAGACCCCTACAACAAGCTCATAATGACGCTACAGTGACCCTAGAAGTCATGTCAAGCCGAGCTGCCCCCTCCAAGGGAGCAGATGACCACACTTTTCTCCCGCAGAGCAGCAGGCGACCACGGCTTCAGCTGCTGCGCCACCAAGCTGTGGGCAGTGAAAGATGCTTGGATTACACCCACAGGTTACCTTGGCGTGTTAGGAAAGTCAACCTGTGCAGAGACTGGGGCCCAAACCAGTTGGACCAGCCGTGGCCCTGCCCCGGCATGGGAGGTGGCACCCGGAACTGGATGATGGCCAGGACTGGAGATGCTCCAAGAGCCCTCGGTCCCGGTGCCTGATGAGATTGGGGGGGCCTGTGGGGGTGCTAGCGAGAATCAAATGGACAGCAAAGCTCCCCAGAGGGGAAGGAGAGGAGCGTGACCGAGGTTGAGCTGGGAGGTGTGTGATAGGGAGGCCTCTCACATGCCCGGAGCAGTTCCTTTAATCAGGCCCATCTCTGACTCATGCTTTCTTGCTACATGGTCATTCAGGTCTTTCCACACATCATGAAGGCTTGCCAAAGCTTTCTGGCCAGCTAGTGATGCCCTGTCCCCAGCTTTGTAGGTGCCCCTTGTCACACACTGGAAGGGGTCCGGTCTGCAGACCTTGATCAGCAGACTGGTAACTGTCAACTCCATGGAGGCTGGTACTGGAGCTGCAGGAGGATTCAGGCATTCCGACCCCTTTGATCTCAGGAACCAGGAGGCAGGCATGCACATGGCCCAGCCCCAGAGCTGCCATGGGAGAAGGTTCGGGGTTCAATTGGGCCTGGGTACAGGAACCTACTACTTGGGGGTGACCGAACCCCAAATTCTGTGCCTTGGTTTTTAAATCTGTATCCTGAGGAGACGAATCACTCACTCTCACTCACTGCATTGAGTCTTAGAGACCCTATAGGACAGGCTAGAACTGCCCTTGTGGGTTTCTGAGGTTCTAACTCTTTGTAGGAGTAGAAAATCTGGCTTGTTTTTCCCATGGAGCAGCTGGTGCTTTCAAACTGCTGACCTTCCAGCTAGCAAGCAGTCCAAGGCATTCTCTGGACAGGCAGCCCCCCGAGCAGAGCTGTAAAAGCATGACACTTTGAGCAGGGCAAACCTGGGACGTTCTCCAGTCATAAGTTTGCGTCAGTGAGAATGGCTTCCACAGCCCAACAACGAGGAGGCAGGGAAGGTGCCTAGGGCGTAGTAACAGGAAGCTAAACTGGAATGAATTGTTGGAGCAAGCTGGGTCTTTGTTGACCTTCTGAGACGGAGGATTCCTAGGTTCCTAATTCCTAGAGCAGGAATTTTTGGGTATGAGAAATGCAGGTCACTGAAGACCTATTGTCAACTGATTTTTAGAACTTTCTGTCGTGTTATCTCATCACAATTCTCCACTTTGTCCCGTTGAGCGCCAAGCTTCTACCTACTTGTGGTTTTGAAACCGTTCTGTGCTTCCTGGTTTGGTATGAACTTTGAAATGGGCCAGGGTGGCTCAGGACTTGTGATATGTGGGCTAGCTGAACAGTTACTCAGAATGACGGGCTGATGTTCAGCTAGGAACAAGGCAGAGTGCAGGTCGCATAACAACTAACTATTTTAACCAGAAGGGTCTTAAACAACTGTGCCCAGCTCTGAGCCTTTGGCCCCTTGTTTTATTTCTTGCTTTTTTCCATTCTGGCCACCATGTTTCACCCCCAAATTGGGGCCTTTTCCAATTTCGCCACGCTGACTGGGACAGAGCTAGGTCAGTCAGTCCACCACCTTGATTACCTTTTCTGATGACCTCGCCACACCCACGGTCACGTACCAAGTACATGCTGTGGGATGCCCAACTGTGATGTGAAAATCACCCCCCTTGAAAATGATGGGGGAGGGGGTGGGATGGGTGTGTGTGCGCTCTGTCTCTGAGAAAGAGAGTTAGGGCAGTGTTTGGGGGATTAGCTCATCACCATATAGAGCCTGAGTCTGGAACAGAAACCTACTAGAAGTGGGGCACGCAGGCGCCACAAAGGCATATGATACCACGCTTAATATTCCAGACGTAGAAGATACAGCAGGGACACCTCCCCACCCCCCACCACCCCCACCACACACACACTTGCATTCCTCTGGTGGAAAAGCATTTCTGTTCATGACCACTGGGGGTTGCCTGGCCTTCTTGGCACCCCTTCTTGGGGGGAACTTCTCTTCAGCTCTCTTTTTTGCCACCCACAGACAATGGCTCCTTGGCCTGAGTCGGAAAATGCCCAGCCAGACCCCAACAAATACCTGGAGGGGACCGCCAGCCAGCAGTCTGCCGTGGCCACCAAAGGTGGAGAGGCCATCAAGAGTGAGTCATGTTCCTTCCGTCCTTGACCAACCTCCCGTGAGGAGCTGAGGGCTCGCCCGTCTGACTCCGTGTCTTGTTGTTTGGGCAGATGCCTCTGGAAACCCTGGTCCCCAGATGGAATTTCTGCCTGCCTACTCCACGCTGACACTGGTGGAGACCCCCTCAGAGGTGGGAGACCCCTGGAAGCTGCCTGAACTTCAGGACACAGGGATCAAGTGGTCAGGTCAGTCTGAAGCCAGTTCCTAGCAACTGGGGTGAGGTGGGTGGGCGGGGGGACACTTGGCACCACTGGGTCTCTCGTGTGTGTCAACCACCCCCTGTTGACATTGTCCTGATGCCTTAGATCCAGGGATTGCCACTTGGCTTTCCTGGAGACTTAGGGTTAAAGTACCATGAGCTGTTCAGGGAGCCAGCAGCTTTGTCAGCCACCCAATGCACCCAACATAGTCGGGGTCCTTATTGGAATGGGTGAAGGGTGGCTCCCGGAGGAGTCAAGGATGTGTCCTGCCTGCATCAGGCCCACAAGCCTCAGGGCCACCTCATCCACATGCTCACCGAGGACCAAGAAGAGCTGCTGGCCCCTATGGGGACATGCCAGGATCGTGCAGGCAGGCCAGGCACAAATCGAGCCATGTGGTCCGTGTAAAGTGTAGTGTGTGAGATGTACCTCTGGAGGTCGGACATAGGAGAAAAGGGTGCTGGATGCTGGGAAGGACTGAAACGAGGATGAGGAAATCAGAGCAGGTGCAGGGGGAGGGGGACCTCTGTTCCTCCCTCCTCCCACCCCCACCTCCTAACCAAGGAGGATGAGAGACCAGTGTCCCAACCAGCCAGCAGATACAGAGATGAGGTTTGGAGAGGAAAGCTGAGGGGATGCTGAGAGAGGAGGTGAGGACCACCCCCCTGTGAATTTCCGAGACTGTCACTGCTACCGGGAGTAGAAAGCCCGGTCTTGCTCCCAGACTTTCAAAGTGAACTACAGGGCCTCCACCGTGGCTTTTTCACATGTTCAGCCACATTCTAGAAAGTGCGCTGTGCCCCCACCTCTGACCCAGGGGCCATCCTCTCAATGGACCACGTGGTGATCGTTTTGCAAATGGATGTGTTGATTCTGTGGGCCTCCTTCGACCCAAGAGCTCACAGCCCTGCTCGACTGGCTCGGCCCATTGCCAAATTTCTCAGGGTCTGCGCGCTGAAAACCTTTCCCTGTTTGTCCCTGCAGAGAGAGACACCAAGGGGAAGATTCTGTGTGTACTGCAAGGCATTGGGAAGTTCATCCTCCTCCTGGGATTCCTCTACTTTTTCGTATGCTCCTTGGATGTCCTGAGCAGTGCCTTCCAGCTGGTTGGAGGTATGGATGGGAGGGACAGAAGGGACAACTCAGCCCACAAGGGGGGTGCCATCCTTGTCAAGGTAGCTTAGACCAGGACCGGGGAGGGAACCAGAGCCAAGCTGATAGCCCCCGGGTCTGTGTCTGCGTCTTCTCTTTGACGTGAAGGCTTTCTGCTTGTGCGGTCTCTACTGCCCCCCCCACCCCTCCTCCAGAGGGGATCACACAGGATCCTGGTTGTTCTGTGAGGCTACAGCAGGGTCATTGCTGAGGGTAGGACAGGATGACTGGCTCTCCCTCCATGGTAGTTGTCTGAGCATCTTCGGGGATGAGTGTGACCAGGAGGCGTAAGGCGGAATCCAAGAGGACACAGTTGCCCTGCGCGTTGTATCATTTTGATGCCCGCTGCGCTACTTTGAGAGTATTGGGTGCGGGCATTTTCCAGGGCATAGTCCATTCTCACCCCCCACCCCCCAGCTGAGCTCATTTAAGAAGATGATTGAGCCTCAGAGGGCCCTGTCAATCACTCCCAAGGGTCAAGAGACACCCAGAGACCATGGTCTTTGCACCGCTGGTGCTTCTCTGCTTCACTGCCTGGCTGGGGCGGGCAGCCTGTGCCTCTGCCACTCCTGGTCCCAAGCAGCACTGGCCAGGCCCTTGTTCCTGCCTGGAGTCCTTGTGGTCTCATGCTGTCCCGTGATGGATGGTGGCTTTCTGTTCCAGGCAAGGTGGCTGGGAAGTTCTTCAGTGATGACTCTCTGTTGTCCAACCCTGTGGCCGGGCTGGTGATCGGGGTGCTGGTGACTGTCCTGGTGCAGAGTTCCAGCACCTCCTCATCCATCATCGTCAGCATGGTCGCCTCCTCACGTGAGTTTGGGGACCTGAAGGCCTGTGGAGCCTACTCCATTCCCTAGTCTTTTCTGAGTCCCTTTGGGTGGGCCTCTGGGTAAAGTACGCAAAACCAGCTTTCAGTCGAAATGAACCAGTGAACGAATGAGCAATGAGTGCCAAGGAAATGCTGGTCCCCAGGCTGTTCCCTGGTTTCTCAACTCTAGCCCTCCCTCTGTACTAGGAATGAAAGTCCTGAAGAAAGTCACATGAAAACTGGGGTGTGAGGAACAGTTCAGGGGATCTCTGGGTGCTGTACTCCTTTTTAGGGGGTGAACCTGTGCATGCTTCTTCGGCGATCCTTTATTAGGCAGTTTCACCAACGCCTGCATCTATTGACAGATTTGGAGGGGGGCGGGGTGTCATCGAGCATGAAGCACCTTGAGGCGGGGGGCTGGGACAGCTAGAATTCAAACCCAAGCCCCCATCCTCCTCCTCCCTGAACCACTTCTTGGTCCCCCCTCCAGTGTTGACGGTGCACGCCGCCATCCCCATCATCATGGGGGCCAACATCGGCACCTCCATCACCAACACCATTGTGGCCCTCATGCAGGCAGGAGACAGGAACGAGTTCCGGAGGTAGGTGGCGTCCAAGCGGCCAGTTGGTTCTCTGGGGCAGGGCGCGCATGCTGTGATCACCGGGGCTCCTGCTGGAGCACACATCCACACGGCTGGGCTAAGAATAGGAGCCATCACCACTGCTACGCCCTGGGAAATCAAAATCCACCCTCACGGCCAGTCTTAGCCAGGGGCCTAGCAAGTAGCCACAGTGAGCTAGCTGGAAAGCTGCCTGCAGCGGCGGCGTGGCCAGTTAGGGCAGGTCTCACTGCTCCACGTCTAACTTCCCAGGGCTTCCATCTGGGGCCTGTTTGACCCTGTGTTCTAGCCCTTGCATGCCAATAACAAGGAAGAATATGGCTCTTGTGGTCCAGTACATAAGATGTGGAATTAGGGAGGTTTCGAATGCAGGTAGAGAGCACTTTTCTTCCCAAAGGGTGGGAATGCAGCTCGTTTTCTGGTGATGAGCCAGGCTGCTTGAGGGTTGGACACTGGGTCAGAGATGTCCTCACAGCCCCCAACGTGTAGGGGAACAGCTTTCATGCCCACTGCCATATCCTGATGGGTGTCTAATATGCTTTTCTTGGGGATGCGGCGCCGGCATTTATTTCTATCTGTATTTGCTGTTGTTGAGACACAGCAGAACGTGATGCCAACGCAGGTGCTCTGCTTGCTTTGCGGGGGTGGCAACGGAGGCTTCTAAGAGGCCAAGTGACTTGACTCCAGGCAGGTCTGCCTGCAGGCAGACCTTGGACCCTTGTCCCCGCTCCAGTGCAATCGAGGTTTGCTTATGAAGAGTCTGAACATGTGCTCTAGTCAGGCACCTGCTTTATAGCAGCAGCCTCCCTCCCCTACCTAGCTCCTTTTTGGAGCTGTTGAAACTAGGTTAATTTTGCATCAATTTCATGCACTGGTCTTGCTTTTCATCTGGAATAATAATCACTAAATTCCAACAGCCTCGTGGCTCTTAAACATTTCACTCATAACGACGCAATTTAATTGTGAGGATGATGCAGGACCGGGCAGTGTTTCGTTCTGTTGTGCAGAGGGTCGCTGTGGGTCGGAACCGGCTTGATGGCGCTTAACAATAACAATAAGTCAGCCGCCTCAGCCTTGGATGAAAGCAGCATCCTCACACCACCCGCTGCATCAACAAGATGAGTTGAAGAGGATCTTCGCCAATGTGATGGGTGAAGGAGCCCTAGCACTGGGCTGCAAGGCAGCTCTGTCCTGTCGGGTCAGAACAGACTCAGTGGCGGCAGCAGGGGAGCACTTGAAGCCTGTTTTTCCGGGTTATGAGCGGCTGCTTCTCCTCGGGTCCACTGGCAAGCGGACACTGGTTCGGAGAGTTAGTGTTTGGACAGGCAGAGACCCTTTTTGAAGGAAACTGTTTCATCAAGTGGGAAACACAAAATCTAGCCTGGCATGGATGAGGTGGATTTCCGAGGTGGGGGTGGGCCTGTGGCCCCGCCCAGACAGATACTTCCCTGTGCAGAGTATTCCCATGACTCAGGGGATTCCCCCAAGCAGCCAGGATCTTCTTTTGAAAAGCTAAGAATTCTCCTGGGCAGGTTGTGCGATTCCCAGGTGGTCTTGAGCTAATTCTTGGAGCTGTGAGATCTGTGGCGAGCGTGTCTACCACAAGCATAGGAGAACACACCCCCATCCCCACCCCCATCCCCACCAGCTGAGTGCTCAGATGGAAACATGGCTTGCCCAAGAGTGGAGAAAAGGGCACTGGGCTCAGCCCAGGCGTGACCTTCATGCCCCCCACCCCTGTGTTTGCCAGCCCTCAGCTTCCTCATCTGTTGGATGGGGGTACTGACTTGGGGATTACTGCAAGAGTGAGACAAGGATTTACTGCACGTGTCCAGATTCTCTAAACGATGCCCACTAGCTTGTTGGCTGACTTGTGGGCTTCCTCTTCTGCAGGGCGTTCGCAGGGGCCACTGTCCACGACTTCTTCAACTGGCTCTCGGTGCTGGTGCTCTTGCCCCTGGAGGCGGCCACCCGTTACCTGGAACTCTTGACGAACCTTGTGGTGGAGTCCTTCCATTTCAAGAATGGCGAAGACGCCCCGGAGCTTCTCAAAGTCATCACGGACCCCTTCACAAAGCTCATTGTCCAGGTAAGCTGGCTTCCTTCAGATGAGAGGAACCCAACTGCCCTGATCCCAGCCTGCTCAGTGGGCCGGCAGTTCAGTCAACACTGCTCTTGACCAACCATGGAGCCTGCAAGGTGGAGCTTTTGGGGACACCTGGGAGAGTAATTGGCTCGATTAGCTGGTGACCCTGGAGGCCACCACCTGTTACCAGGAGCTCCTGACCCACCTGGTGGTGTCGAATGTAACTACCCCAATCCAGAGCTGTAGGGACACCCACACGAGCAATTGGGTTTTCTAGTTGCCCTGACTCCCTTATCTTGATTGTGAGAGAGAGAGGGGTGCTTCGTATGGGACTCAAGGCCATCCCACTTGAAATCTGAGGGCCCTTGGGTGCCATGATGGCCCTCCTCTCAGTACCAGCAGGCTCACTGACGACAAAGAGAAATGGAAACCAAGTAAAAGCAAGCAGCTGCTGTGATCATTCCAGCGAATGGCGGCCCCCGGGTGCGCCTGAGCCTCCAGCTGAGTGCGGTCAGGGGCTGCCCTACAGCCCGGTCTTTACTTGTCCTTGTTAGCGGCAGTTGACCTGGCTCCACAGTCCTGTGGCCCCATGCCCAATGGAGCCAGCCTTTTGAGATCCATGGGTTTTCATTGGCTAGTTTTACAAAATAGCTTTGCTGGGCCTTTCTTTGTCCAGAAACCCCTAAAACCAGTTCAGCATCCTAGCAACACGCACGCATCCTAGCAACATGCTAGGTGGCTGTGGACATGATGTAGAGCCAGGAACCAATCCCTAGATGTCTACAACCACTAAGCCACCAATGTCTCACTAGAGCCATATGACTGAATGGCTCTAGTAGGAGCTTAGTTGGTGGGAGCAGACACAAGCTGCCCTTTGCTTTGGGTCATGACATGTGACTTTTCATTGGTTTCTTAAGCCCTTGCCTAATGTCTAGGAGAGGAGCTTTGGTGGCATAATCGTTCCACATTGGGTTGTGACCTGCGAGGTCTGAAGTTTGAAACCACCAGCTGCTCTGATGGAGGAAGACAGGGCTTTCTACTCTGGGGAACATGACAGTCTCAGAAACATGCAGGGGCAGCTCTGTTCTGTCCTGTAGGTCCGCTATGAGTCAGCATCACCTTGATGTCAGAGTTCTAAGGATGTCCGGGTCCAGCTTCGGCTCACCCCTGGCGGCCTCCCACTCTCTCACTTTGTGCCTTCGCAGACTTCTGAGACAGGCCTGACTCTTCCTTCTGTTGTCTTCCTCAGCTGGATAAGAAAGTCATCAACCAGATTGCAATGAAGGATGAAGCCGCCCAAAACAAGAGTTTGCTTAAGATCTGGTGCACGACTTTCACCAACGTGGTAAGCCCCGAAGATCGCAGGGTCACTGGAAGCCAAGGGGAAAGTGAACGGAATGAAGCTTCTCCCCAGTGAGAAATGGCCCACCGGGTTGGATGGATGGGGCAGACTGTGCCCTCTTTCTTTCGCCCCGGGGTCCCTCCCTTCCATGTCATGTCTGAATCCCATTGAGGGAGGGAACCATGGAAGCAGGGCTCTTCAGGGGCTGGAAAGCAGTGGCTTCTCTCACCTGCCAGTCTAGAATGTTCCACCAGGGTCCTGTGCCTGCCTCTATGTTCCATCAAGGCCCCGTGCCTGCCTCCTGAGTCAGGGACACTTGCGCAGCCTGCTTTACCGCAAGGCATTAGTTCAGTGGTTCTCAATCTGTGGGTCTCCACCCCTTTGGAGGTTGAACGACCCTTTCACAGGGGTTGCCCGGTTCACAACAGTTGCAAAATTATAGTTATGAAGTAGGAACGAAAATAATTTTATGGTTGTGGGGGTCACCACAACATGAGGAACTGTATTAAAAAGGGTCAAGGCATTAGGAAGATTGAGAACCACTGCTTTAGCTTCCCCTTGTTGACAGGTGTGTATACAGACAGGATGTGCCTGTTGCTGAGAGATGCTAGGCTGCAGTAGCCCTGAGGCTGCCTTGGTCTGTCTCCAACTGTTCCACGAGCAAATGAAGGGCCAACAACATAAGCAGGCAGGGTAAAGGCGGCTCTGGGGAGAATGTTTCATCAAAGCTCCCCAGCCCTATTGTATCGATTTATTATTATTATTTTACCAGCCCTATTTTTATATATATATGAAAAACTGGCCCCTTAAAAAATTTTTTTTAGCCCTTAAAATGAAACCCTTCGAATATGTGAAGCAACAACACGCAAAAGGTGTCCCTCTTGGTGGGCCTTGCTCGGGGCTCCCTACCCCCACCCCCAGCTGCCTGCCACCCACACGCGTTTTATGTTTGCTGCATAGACCGAGATGAATGTCACCGTCCCCTCATCTGTGAATTGCACGTCCCCTTCGCTCTGCTGGCAAGATGGGCAACATGTCTGGACCACGAAGAACGTGACCTACACGGAGAACATCGCCAAATGTGAGGGCACCGGCCACGGGAGGGCCGTCTGCGGGGCTGGCAGGCGTTTCCTGTCTGGCTGGAGAGAGGGCAGTTGAACCGGGGTTGAAGTCCAAGTCAGTGCTTCTATGGGCATCCAAACCCACGCTGTCTATAGCACATATCCTCAGGAGAGCGTCCGTTCCATCCGGATGGACTCATAGGTTTTGCTTTTTGAGTCCCAGACAGGCTATTGTTCATTCTCCAGTCGACTCTGACCCAGGCCTGCTCCCTGGGGTAAAAGCGAAGTAGATAGCCTCATCTTTCCCCCGGGAACGAAGGGATAGGCAGCTAACCCAAGGCCGGCAGGTGGGAACCAGCAGCCGCTCCATGCGAGAAAGATGGGGCTTTCTCTACTCCAGGAAAGAGCTGCAGTCTTGGGAGCCAACAGAACCAGTTGTCCTATTGGGCTGTTCTGAGTCAGAATTGGCTCAATGGTGGCAAGTCGGGGAGACCCAGAATGAAGCAGAGTACGTCAGGTGTGATTTGCCCCCAGAGAATCCAGAGGCCGTCTCCCATGTTCGATCGATGGCTTGAGCTATCTTGATAGAACCACAGTTTCCTGGAATTCCCATGGGCATGCTGAGAGGCTGTGGATACTACCCTTGATCTCAGTCAAAAGGCCGAGAAGCGATGCTCAGAGGCTTTGAAAGCACGAAGGGATCTTTGCGTTTTGGAATATCCCCTGCTTTCTCATTCCATCCCACTTAGTTCCTTAACTCTGGCCAAACCCACGGTCTCCATATTAGGAGTGATTTAGAAGTAGAAGAATAAGACCAGAGGCCTGACATGGTCCCTGACAATGTGACCTTAATCCATGTGACTTCACGTCACCTTCCCGCCTCGGACATCTGGTGTGGTCACTCTGAATGCTGCAATCAATGAATCCCAGTGTGTAGATTTATAAGTGAGCTTGGATTTACCCTCTCTTGGGCCCAGGCTTCTTCCTCTGTCATAATTAGATCTCCGCCTTGTTGGCGCTATGAAGCTTCGCTTCTGTGAGCACAGCACAGGCTCAGGGTTCCATGCTCTTTGCCATTTGACAAACAGGTCTTCCTTAAAGGCTTGTGGCTATTAACCTAATTGTTGCTGTGAGGTGCATTCAAGTCAGTTTCACAGAATGAGACACTGCCCGGTCCTAGCCCTCCTCAGTCTCGCTACAGGCTGGATCCTGAAATGATCTTGACAGTGGACGGCAGGGATGTTCCTCTCTCCCCTTAGTCATCGCACAGCTTCCTTGGGGTCACATCTTTGTAGCAACTACTGATGGGTGCTTTTCAGTTGCCGGGATAAGAAAGACCAATGAAAACGATTATTGTACTGATGTATGCACCAGCCACTAGTGCCCGAGGTGAAGGAGGAAATAAAGGGGTTTTATTGACTTGTGCCGCCTTAAGTTGGATCAAGCACACCACCAATATGCCCTTCGATGATTAGAAACAAACAGGGATTCATGGTAGAGACATGTGTCCTTGGTGACAGAAGCTGCCCAAAGGGGACACGGGAGGAGGGCTCTTTCTCCAGGGCCGCCCCGTGCCAGGCGTTAGTCCAAGAGAGGAGGCAGTTAGGGAATAACTGGCAACTGGTGGCCACGCATGGCTGTGTCTCCTGACAAGGGCTGCCTTCTGGTCTCTGCAGGTCGCCACATCTTTGTCAATTTAAACCTCCCGGACCTTGCCGTTGGCCTCATCCTCCTGCTAACCTCCCTCGTGGTCCTCTGCCTTTGCCTTGTCATCATTGTCAAGATCCTGAACTCTGTGATGAAGGGACAGGTTGCCGCGGTCATCAAGAAGACCCTCAACACTGGTAGGCACTCTTGACCTTCCCAGGGAGGGTGTCACGGGTCAATCCCCTGTGAATGGTGGCCTCTGCTCCGAGTATCTCTCTTGGCTCTGAGAAGCCGGAAGCTTGTGTGTGAACCTGGGGAGCGAGGTCCAGGGAAGGAGCCAGGTGCCTAAAGAGACCTTTACTGGGTCTCTTGGGGTCCCTGAGACAAGTCACCACGTCACTTACTTGGTCCCCCCACCATCCACCCATTCTACTTACACTTGGGGAGGAACACTGCTCTGGATTAATACATCAGCATCATCAGGACTATATTCCTGGCCAGTGACATCACCCTGTGCATTCAGTGGGGCCTAGGATGCCTGCCTCCCAGGTTGCCCCAAGAGTGAATTAGGCATCGTTGGGGCTTCCTAGGTGTATGTATGTGTGGGGTTGGGAGGGTCCTGCGCCATGGTAGGGAGGGCTGAGTTGATAGGTGGGTGGAATGGGAGAACAGGACAGGGAGGAGGTGTGGAGCACGATGTAAATGCCCTCCATGGGAGGGCATTGGCTGGGAGCTCTGACCACGCCTGCATGGTGAGAATGCAGCGGGGAAGGAGACTTTGGCATGATCGGAATGTGGTGTGGGGTCCTGAGGGAGCCCACCCTTCACCCCATGTTTGCCTTACAAGGTGTGAACCATCTGACTCCCTTCCTCCTGCCTTCCAGACTTCCCCTTCCCCTTTGCCTGGCTGACTGGCTATCTGGCCATCCTGGTGGGGGCGGGCATGACCTTCATCGTGCAGAGCAGCTCTGTGTTCACGTCTGCTTTGACCCCTCTGATTGGTAAGTTTCCCTTTCTTCTGAGTTTTCCCCTGGGCTTCTCCCCGCCACCCCGGGGGGTTGCTATGGCTGCCTCCCATTATCTCCTGGGGGTTGATGTGATAGTCTTTTAATTCCCACCCCCTCCATCTTCTCACTAGGCATCGGTGTGATCACCATTGAGAGGGCGTACCCCCTCACGTTGGGCTCCAACATCGGCACCACCACGACTGCCATCCTGGCCGCCTTGGCCAGCCCGGGCAGCACCTTGAAGAGCTCACTCCAGGTCAGAACATGCTGCACGGGGAGGCCCGGGGCTCTCTAACGGAGGCCAGGAGGGGCATCACGAGATGTGACCCTTGGTCTGGGGCTCTAACAAGAGTCAGGCGTTTGCCTCTGAGGCTCACAAGGAGAAGCTCAGGTGTGGAGGAGAAGCCCAGGAGCTCCAGAGGCTTGGGGGTTGTTATGGGGCCATTGAGTCTGCTCTGACTAGGTACAACAGAATGAAACACCGGATATACGTCCCGGCCACTGTTGCAGCAGCCTCTGTGTCAATCCATCTAGTTAAGGGCCTTCCTCTTTTTCACTGCCCCTCCACTATAGCAAGCATAGTGTCCTTCTCCAGGGACTGGTCTCCTGACAATCTGCTCAAAGTATGTAAGAAGTCTTACTCAGGCTCTACTTCCTCCAAGAGAGATCGGTTTGTCTTTTTAGCAGTCCATGGTACTTTCAAGAATACTGAATGAATATTGAATAGTGAAAGTCTTGGGGGAAGGAATAAGGCTTCCACCATTGGCAACAGTTGACATAAAGATTGAGAGGCCACGTGATGGAGGGGTGGCATAGACAATTCTCGATACCATGGAGTTTCTCCCCACCCCTGTAACAACGCAGAAACCCACTCACCTGTCCCCACCCCTTTCATCTTTCAGATCGCGCTGTGCCACTTCTTCTTCAATATCTCGGGCATCCTGCTCTGGTACCCGATCCCCTTCACCCGGCTGCCTATCCGTCTGGCCAAGGGGCTGGGCAACATCTCCGCCAAGTACCGCTGGTTCGCCATCTTCTACCTCATCTTCGTTTTCTTGCTGACCCCGATGGCGGTGTTTGGCCTCTCGCTGGCCGGCTGGCCAGTGCTGGTAGGCGTGGCCGTGCCCATCCTCTTCCTGCTGCTCCTGGTGGTGCTGCTGCGGCTCCTGCAGGCCCGCTGCCCTCGGGTGCTGCCCGCAAAGCTCCAGAGCTGGAACTTCCTGCCTCTGTGGATGCACTCGCTGAAGCCCTGGGACCGCTGGATCTCCCTGGTTACCAGCTGCTGCCAGCGGCGCTGCTGCTGCTGCTGCCGCGTGTGCTGCCTGCTCTGTGGCTGTCCCAAGAGCTGCCAATGCAGCAAGTGCTGCGAGGACCTGGAGGAGGGGCAGGAGAACACCAAGGACATCCCCATTAAGATCCCGCAGGCTGCCTTTGACAACATGGCCCAAGATGCCCCACCCGACAAGATCGTTTCTCACAGCACGGCCTTATAGGGGGCTGCCAGGAGGTGAGATGGGGGGGAGGGGGAGGCACATCTCACAGGCAGCCCCGCACTGCCTATGGGGCTGTGCAACTCAGCCACACTCCCTGGGTGCCCCCCACTGCCAGGAAGGTTAAGCCTGGCTAGACCCCTGGTGGTGCCCAGCTGACGGCTGGGGACTTAATCACTAGGGACCCCAAGCTTGGGGAGGGATGGGCATATAACTAGGAGAAAGATTAAGCTTTTTACTCCCGGGAAGTTGTACAGCCTTGGAAACCCACAGGGCAGTTCTACCCTGTCCTGTAGGGGGGAAGCTAATGAGTTGAGCTGATTTCACGATGAATGTATGCACACGCGCACATGCTGAGGCTAACAATGGCTTATCTTCACAGGCCATTCAGGGGATTTGGTGTGGGTCACTCCCACTTCCTAGATGTCTTCCTCACCACCTCACCCCATTACCCACCCACTGGGAGCTAAGCCAGAACCTTATGTTCCTCCACAGGCACCCTTTCTCTGTGGCCACCCAGCTCCGGGAAACAGAAGCAGGGCCTGGCTGGACTGCCCACAGCACTACTCACGGCTGGATTCCTGTGTCGGACCAAAGACTCTGGGATCTTGTCCCAAACGTGCCTTCCACTCTTCCCTCCTGGGCCCCTCACCACCCCCACAAAGCTGCCTCTCACCACCGAGTGAGCACCCATGATGTCTGGGGAAGGGTGTAGCTGAGTTTCAGTACCATGCCCTAACACACACCCCCCCCACCCATTCCCCAGTCCTACCAGCCTCACAGGTTGGGATGCCAAGCTGAGCCCGCCCTTGCCCCTGCCCCTGCCCCTTGTAGATAACCATGCCCAACCAGAGCCATTTTTACTCTATATTTATAGCCACGCATCTGTACAGCATTTTTCACAGCGTATGTAACCAGCAGCCAGCGGGATCTGTGACTTAAGAGAGCTTTCTCTCTGAGGAAGAAGCTGGGTTATCCATGGAAAGTATGGATCGTGCCCCACCATTGTATATTTTATCTCCGAGCCTTTTCCCCCTGTCTCTGTGGCCTGCCGGTGGCGCCCACTCTGTAAATATGTAAGTTAAACATGGGCAGGGGCTTCAGTCTCCTGTTTGGGGTTGTTTTCTTAAAAATGAGATGTCTGTAGTGTCAGAACTGGTTGTGAGTGAACTAATAAAAGAAAGACCAAACCCATCCCAGTTGAGTGTGGTGTTTTCCATGACCAGGGTCAGCTTTTAAAATTCTCACTTTTCACCCCCAAACCAAACCCATGGATAGCATCAGCCCCAACTCATGAGCCCACAGGTCAGAGCAGAAGGCTCTGCAAGGATTTCTGAGATTGTGAACAACTTCATCTCCCTCCTGCAGAGCGGCTGGCGGATTTGAACTGCTGGCTTACGGTTAAATTGTGAGCGACAGCTCCACAGTGGCGATGCCAGGTCTGAACGCAGCCACGCATCGACAGTGGACTTTGCGCGAACTGAAGACCTTGAATCCCTACGCGGAAGCACTGGAACGTTGCTTTATAGCTCACTCCAACCAGGAGAAAGCCCAAACGGCGCCCACAAAGTCGATTTTAAATTTCACTTCCTGATATGTCCTCGGGAGGAGCTGGAGGGACTGAATGAGAGGAAGGACAGGCCGCCCACGATGCCAGTAAGCGGTTGACGGATGTGTGGCGCATGCGCAGTCCCGTGGTATTCCTGGGCTCTGCGAAAGGTTTGCTGCTTCCTAGTCTACTCGGGATGGGTAGGGGAGCCTTCATCCTCCCTACGGCCGTTTGTATGTTTATAACATCACTCGTGGACCATACTGGACAATTAACTCACCCCTAACGCAATGGCCGGAGCTGCTTCTTGTTGATGTGGGTGATGTGAGCGGACATCGATGGTTTCAAGGGAGGGCATTCCCCAAGCCTGGCCACTCCTCGAACTGACCCCACGTCCATTTTGGGCCTCATGGCACTTGTCCCATTTATATTAATAAGAGATAGAAACAAATCTCCCTGGTTTGCATTGAAAATCAGTTGAGAGGCAGGGAAATGCAAACGTGGGTGTTGATTCTCAGTTTATACAAGTTGTGAGGAGCCGTGGAATCTGACCTAACCCGTAGCGACCCCCTATGCACAACAGAAAGAAACCCCGCCCGGCCCTGCGCTCTGCTCACGCTTGTCCCCGCCCATTGTTGCAGCCTCTGTCCATTCATCTTTTTGACGGCCTTTCTCCTTTCAAATGCCCCTCCCCATTCCCAAGAAAGATGTCCTTCTCCAGGGACTGGTTCCTCCCGACAACATGTCTAAAGGGTTTTAAAAGAATTGTATGTAAGAGGACTCTGGCCCTACTTCTCCCAAAACAGATTTGTTTCTCCTCTTGGCAGTCCGTGGGACTTTGCACATTCTTCTCTTGCCCCACAAGTCAAACGCACCAATTCTTGTTCATGTCCAACTTTGACCCACATATGAGGCTATGCCCATTAGTTCCCTATATTTTGAGACCTATACACTCCACCACTCATCTGCCATCTTGTCGTACTGTACTGGCTTATATGGTGGTGCCATGCTGGAAGCCATCTATGCCAGACATGTTTAAATACTAGCAGGGGACCAGTTTCATTCCAAACTAATAAAAAGAGGAAGAGAGCCTCTCTCCACTCCCACCACCACCACCCGAAACTGGCCACTGAAAACCTTGTGGACAGTAGTGTAATTGTCTACTGGAAGATTCGCCTCTCAAGTTGGCAGGCAGTCAATGTGAGTCAACCTTCGTGATGTGGACGGAATTTTTAGGGCCTTCAATTTCCGACTCAATGAAAAGAAACAGGTGCACACATGGATCAGTGAGCAGAACACCGAACACAAGAAATGTGAACCGAGGACAAAGATGGAAAAGCCTAGGTGGTAGGGAGCTCAAATAGATCACTATTAGCTGATTTGAACTGGCCAATCAATGTGATCATGTTGTGTTATGCTGAGAGTGACAAATGCAAGAAGAATTGCAATACGTTCATGGTTAAAAAAAAAAATCAAGGTCATCATGTAATAAAATCCTGACAGGGAGTGTGATTATTACATTGATGTAGGAACCACTAAAGCTAACCTCTGTGGTCTGAAATTGATCAAACATGAGATCAAGATGCGTTGATAATTATTGGTGATTGAAATGCGAATGTTGGAAACCAAGGAGCAGAAGCAGGGAAACATGGTCTTGATGATAGAAATGACACTGGAGGCTGCAGGATAGAATTCTGGGAGACCCCTTCACTGGAAATGCTTGTGTCCAACAATATAAACCATGGCTACATGTGAACCTCCCCAAAAGGAAGACAGGAATTAAATGGGCCATCTCTGCAGAAAGGGACCACAGAGAGCCCCCACTTCATCAATCAGAGCAAGGCCAGGGGCCAATGGCAGAACAATAATGGCTCCCATGCGAATTCAATCTGCAGCTGAAAAAAATTAAATAAGTCAAGCAGAACCCAAGTACAACCTTGAGTATCTCCCACCTGAATTTACAGACAGACAAGTTGTGGGGTGACATCAAGGACATCGAATGCAGAGAAAGCAAAGAGCCCAAAAGACAAGGGAAGGGCAGACTGGACGAACTCCATATAACTGCTCTTTGCTAATAAGGGTGATCCAAAAGGTGAAAAGTATCATTGCTCTCACATCAGCAATGCATTTAATCCCATGAAATTGTTCATAGGTTGATGGTGTCTGAGGAGCCCTGATTGCATAGTGGTTATGTCTTGAGCTGCTAACTGTAAGGTCAGCAGTTCAAGACCTTCAGTAGCCCCATGGGAGAAGCATGAAGCCGTCTACTCCCGAAAAATTTAGTCTTAGAAACCCACAGAGGCAATTTAACCCTGTCCTATAAGGTTGCCACGAGTTGGCATAGGCTCCGTGGCAGTGAGAAAGTGTCTGAATAACAACAGTTATACATGGTTCAATCAAGTTTTTTTCCTTCTATTTTCTTGTTTGGTACCATTGACTCAGTTCCAACTATTTGGATGGGTAATCCATTAGTTCACCTCTAAGTCACCTAAGTTTTTTTTTCTCTGTTTTTTTAAATTTTTATTTCTGTCTTTTATGGTCCCTATACTCTTTTTTTAAGGAGTTTCCTCTATAGGTGTGGTACTTACATCATTTCATGTCAACTTGATCATAAGTATAGGGCTGGAGGCTAGTCTGTCAATCAGGTCACAGGCCTGAGGATGCGTCCTTGTGGGTGTGGCCTTCTCATGAGGATTCTGGGAACTTCCTCTTTTTCTCCCTGGAAGTGGTCCACACTTTCTCTGCTTCACTTTCCTGCTGTTGAAACATTTGGAGAGGAGCCATGTGGAGAATCATGCCAGCCCTGAGATGCTTCCACTGCCACTGGATCCACAAGCCATTGCACCCACTGACCTGTGATCTTCCTGAATTTGACGTCATTGCATGTGCTGCAGGAGTCTGAAGAGAAAGTCATGGCCTAATTTCGAACTTATGGACTTGAATTGGACTGGGCTAAGATATTTTCTCAATAGACAATTGGTCTTCCATAGGAAGCTCTTTCTTATACGTATATGAATGTCCCTGGGTTTGTTTCCCTAGTCAACCCAGACTAACACAATATCCTCAGTTTGTTTTGTTTTTAACTTTATTGTGAATGGAGTGAAGTTTTGCAGATCAATTTCCCATTCAAAAGTTCATACACATTTTTTTCCATGTAATTGGTTGCAGCCCTTGTAATGTAACATCACTTATGCCACGTCCTCCCTCTGTTCCCTATTTCTACACATCCTTTTTTCCTAATCCTTATGAACGTTTTCTTTGTGTAAATGTCCATTTGATCCCAAATGATGCATTATTCTAAGGCATGTATACCTCCCCAGTGTTATTGTTTGTTATATACCTGGCTCTTGTTGGACTGAAAATTGAGCCCTGGGGTGAGTTCATTTCCAGATTGGACCAGTGACTATTGGACATAATCTTAAGGGTCCTAACTGACCAGTCAGCCTGGACTTTT